AGCCAATGGATCTCCCTGCGTGGTCCCCTCCTTAGATAATAAGGTATCACCACCAATAAAGAGATTACTCTCAATACGGTATAAATTAATCAGAACCCGACCAAGGGAAGGACAAAGATGAAGCACATTCCTCAATGCCATACCTCTGTTCAATGAATTGAAAGCATTAGTCGCATCAACCAATAGAAAGCCCTCAGCACCATCAGAATCATATACTTCACGAACAGCATGGGCCACAGCCTCACAAGCAGAACTAATACCAGCACACAATTGAGAGCAACCAGTCACCTCCATGATATCAGATTTAATCACATTAAGAATAGACTTACCGATGACACGCCTAATGACCTCTCCAATTCCAATCGGGCGTACTCCCGGCTTCTTGTCCAAAGCTATGAGTCGAGAAGACACCAGAGCAGACACACTCCGTGGATCCACATATTCACAACAAAGCTTCCGGGCCACCATAGCAATGGAATCACACAAATCATCAGAGTCCTTTGAGAAAGAAGTACATGCTTTCCTCCATTGGGATACGTCCATACCTGAAGGCCCAGCTGCTCCATCCATCCTCAGTAACATGGACCGAACCAGAACGCCATCAATATGATGGAACTGAATAAAATGAGGCTCGTGATTAGGGGGAGGAGTTGATGGTAACAGAGAATGAGAAGGATAGAGTGGAGCTGGATCAGGGTGCTTCTCAATTAGTTTATCCCTAACAGTAACAGTTGGTTCAGATTCGCAAACAGGTACATCCAGTGAGAGGGGTTTCCCCACTGACCCTGACTCACTCAAGAGGCGTAAAGCCGCCTTGACTTTACCTTGAAACATCAATTTGGAGAAAGAGTCAGCAAGTTCACCCCCTCTCTTAGATGACCCACCACGGAAGTTCTTCTGAATAGTCTCGCCTTCCTTCAACAGCAGTTTAAAGCAGCCATCATGCCATAGTGCCAACCTGCGCTCAAAGGCCTCTACATGGTCCTTTGCCTTTGAGCGACGGGAAGGTAGCCTTGGGTATTTTTCAGATTTTGGCAATTTTCTTAAAATGATCGTAACTCAAAAAATTTAAGTCTGAATCAGCTCAAACTTTGTACACACCTAAAGGACATCAATATGTATCAGAAAATGTAATGAAAATCAGGAGTGATTTTTTGGCCATTTTTTGGAAAAAAAGCATAGGCTATAGCCTTGGATATTTTTCAGATTTTGGCAATTTTCTTAAAATGGTCGTAACTCAAAAAATTTAAGTCGGAATCAACTCAAACTTTGTACACAGCTTAAGGACATCAATATGTATCAGAAAATGTAATAAAAATTGGGAGTGATTTTTTGGCCATTTTTCAGAAAAAAGCATGGGCTATAGCCTTGGGTATTTTTCAGATTTTGGCAATTTTCTTAAAATGGCCGTAAACAACTTTAGAAATTTATAAAAAATTGAAATTTGATTGAAGTCAGCTCAAAGTTGATACACAACATGAGGACATGTATATGTATCAGAAAAAATTATAAAAATAGAGAATTTTATCCTAGTCATTTTTGACAAAATTGGGCCAAAGACCCAAGGCCTTTGTTCTTTGGGCAAATTTCATCAAAAATGACTAGGAGAGAATTTTCTTTTTAAATAATTTTTTGATACATATACATGTTTTTATGTTGTGTATCAACTTTGAGCTGATTCCAATCAATTTGGATTTTTTAGGATTTTTTGAAATGACTCAAAAAGCCATGGCATATTATTGTACATGTACATTGTAGAGCTTGTCAGCTCATGAAGCATGCCATGCTAGCCTTATTCATTTAAAGCACTCCTGCTATAGGAGCTATACTTGATGGCTGTTATTGTGTATTTTAGATCACCTAGTACTCTGTCTTACCTAACAATGGAGCTACATCTTTTGTCTGAACTGGTTGACTCCATTTTACTGTGTGAGTCAAATCACTTTGACAGCAAAGTAAGCAAAAATTTTATTGTTACGTTTTAGTTATTTTTTAGTTATTAGTTTGTTAAAATTATGTGTAGAGGACTTGTTTTATTTTTGCTATTTCCTCATACAGTTACTTTTAAACTTGTTGGAATTTTTGTCAGCACTCATCACTCGTTTGTGTACTATAAAAAAGTAAAAACTTTAATGATTATCATTACTTATTTCTCTATCTTAGTCAGTCTCATTCATTAATTAATGTCTTTCAAGTTTTATATAAAATATTAAGCAAGTCCTCTCTATCACTGGAAATTTTTAAAGAAGTAAACCCGTTGACTATAATAATGAGGATAATATCAAAGCTCTATATCTGTTAGGTTGTTCTAGGTTTAAAATTAATCACTATATCCATATCTACTTGGGAAATGGAACATTTTGAGGCATTTTTAAAGTAAGCAACAGTTGAAGTTGCTTCTGTATATCAATACAAGACTAATATTTGAGTGATATTATATCAATACTTCTTATAGAGTTTTAGTGGAATTAAAAGCTGGTCAGGAGTTCAACGTTAAATATTCACGGGAATATGAAGAATCACTTGCAAGTAAGGGTTTCCTCAACAATGTTTAATGTGGAGCAAAGCAATAGAATATAAAATTTTTGTTATATTCTACATATATTTTGTTTATGTATGAGCTTTATTTTGTAGTCCTTATCAAGACTTGGAGTTACTTGAGTCATCAAAAAACATAACTATTTTTTAATGATACCAAAATTAAAAATATAAACACATTTTATAAATGGTACAAAATTTTATTTATTTTACGATGTCAAGAAAATAATGAATGCCATGACTTTTGATAAAAGAGTGTACAGTAAAGTGTGAGTGTGTGGATAATAGAAAATAATAATAATAAAACAATAAAAAATCAATGATTGATACATATTCAGTTTTTACTGCGATGAAATACTATCGTTAATGACTCCATTTTTGTCGCTATCTGACGTCGTAAGTGGATTATCCAAATGACTGATTTGATGTGGAGCTAAAGGAGACAAAGGAGAGCGAATGGAGTCAGGAGCATCACACGTACTGAACTGAAACGGGTTATCTAAACTAACACAGTTAACAGAGTCAGTGTCATGACCAAAATGAGGGCCTGAAGTGCTTGGGAAAAGTTCGCTAACTTTTTTCAGCTCTATTGGAGGCACAGGGAACACAATATCATCCAGAGCCTTTCCTAGTGACAGCTCTATAGTCCTTTCTGTGATGGGCCCTGACTCATCACTTTCAACGGTTCCTTCACGTCTTAACGTAGACTTTGAGAATGAAGACGATTTAGTGCTACGTCTACGAATAACTGAGGAGTTCGTCACTGAAGAGGGTGGTTCGAATCTCTTGACGCCAGTGATTCTAAAAATCCACCTCTGCCACTCTTTCCTCACTTCGGCTGATCTAAGACAGTGCATGATGAAGATGAACAGTCCCTGGAATGACGTCAACAATATGAAAATGACCGAGAATATGTTTCGAATTGTTGCCGACGTGAAAATAGTTGCAGATACAAAAAGACCGAAACCCCAGCCGAGGCCGAAAAGGATAGAGAGAGTGATTGCTATCAAGAGTTGCTGCTTAAAGGACATTCCAGTTTCATCGGAATAAGACTCTGCAAACTTCTTGCGACATTTTTTCCTGAGCAGCTGAGCCATTATCATCGTAAACATGGCCCAATTGAATAAGTAGATGAGAATAAACGGGGCCACTGTCCCAATGTAGAATGGGATGTACTCAGCACGACAGCTACAGAAATAATAAAAAAAGATGGTTTTAAAATTGATTGAGCATTTTTGAAGTACAATAAATTACATATGTACAAAATATCAGTATTACCATCTATCTGGAAATTTTTATACCATGATTTTAATTTTACTAGATTAGAATTTTACAAAAATTAGATCACTTGTACAATTATGTGCCACATTCAATAATACATGACACAGTCTTATTTAGTAAAAATTAAATCACAGCTTAATATTAAAAACACAAAAATTTCTACCACACATATTACTGTATTTATATTACTAAAGTTTAATGGCACATACAACAACTGTGAACATGATTAATAAAGGCCTTATATAAGATAGGATTGCCACTTACAAATTATCGTTCATATAATACTTGTAGCCAGGAGCAAAACAAAATAGAACCACAAAGACAGGAGTGACCCAAGTGAATAGAGCAGCCTTCAAGACATAGCGTGATATTCCTTTGCCAAGAACAATGACCAGTTTCACATAGAGATTAAGAGCCTCGGTAGCCATCGCACAAAATGATACTAGCAAGAAGTACTGGAGTAGAATGGAGGCTATGGCACAGAGTGGATCAATTGAAGTGCTGTGGAGAGATAGGATGAAGCTTAAGTAAAGCCCAACCAGTGCCAAACAAAAATTGAGTAGGAGTTGACCGTGATCAGATCTCCTTAATTTCCTATAATAAAGAATAATATAAATAATAAAATATTGTAGACTTGATGCAATAGTTAAATAATTCATTGAAATCTACTCTATACATGATTTGCATAATAGAAGTTACTGGGCAGTTTTATAGGAGAATATTTGGCTTAAAATATTTTTAGATAGCCATAATTGTCAATTACAATATTAATTATTAAATCCAATATTAATTATTAAATCCAATTTTAATTGGAATCAGCTCACATAGAACATGTATAATGAATCATAAAATAATAAGAATAGCAGGAGCTTTCCTGACCTTGATTTAAGATAAGTGATTATTGTTATGCCTAAACAAAACAAAGAGACTATGTTCCCTATGTATGACAAAGCATTAAGAGCCTTCCCAATATCTGTATCAACAGGCTCTGAACTAGGCTCTGGTGAAACATCCTAGAGAAAAGAGAGAGAGAGAGAGATGACATGAAAGACAAAGGAAAGTTGATAATTTTGATGTTAAATCATGTCCTTACCAAGAGAGCAGCAAAGTTAGTTAAATGGTCGCACAAGCACACAATAAACTCATTACTATCATTGACTAAATGACAACCATGATTGGACCAATCAAGTGTTGATTCTAAGATAAAAGTATGACATAAAAATACAGTGCTAGTTTGCAATCGCTGCAGCAGTATTCATGATAATAATAAAAAATGCTTACCACTCCAATAAGAGCATGTGAAATGATTAATCAACCCACTTTGCTTTGGAGGCTGGAAAAATTTAAAAAAAAACAATAAAAAGAATCACATTTGCAAAACATACTTTCTCAAATCTTATTACTACAGGAGAGCTCAGATTCCTGACTGATACTCCAGTCCCATTATGAACTAGTGTAGCTGAAATGACTGAAGTGCCTACATTGCTTTTCCCAGCTTCCTCCACAAACAATGAAGTACTTCTATGATATATGCTTGACACTGCAACCCCTCCATCTTCTAATTCTCCAGCTTCCTCAAGAAGACTAGGTGGAACACTGATTGAAGCAGCATTAACACCTCCTGTAGCTTGTCTTTGCCGCTGGGTTCCTTCTTTGTTACCGATTTCAAAAGTTTCTCCTTGGAAATCACCTTTTTCGACTTTCCGTACTTCAATGGTAAAAGCAGGAAGCTTTGTGAGTACAGAGTCTGTGTCAACCAGTGGGAGATTGTTAGTGACTATCTCTAGGTTTTGAAGCAATCTACATCAATATAGAGTAAAAAGAGATTGAGAGAAATGTAATGGAAAAAACAGACAATATTTTAAAATTTGATACATTTAAAGTGTACATGTAATTTTGATAAAAATATATATGGCTGCCACTGCATTGCTCTGTGTGTTCCTTCTATTCACAAGAATAATTTAAAATGTACCTTGAGGGGGCACTTGACTGGATTTGAGCCATACGTAAAGTGTCACTGTCGAGCATGGCAATACTACTGGTGACTGAAAACATGTCTTTACTAGCCTGAGAGAGAGAAAGTGAGAAAGAAAGAAAGAAAAAGAGAGTGGTATAAATAAAGAGAATGATAAAAATTAAAATTAAGCACAGAGAAGAGGAAATGACAGAAGAAAGAAGTGAAGAAGATGAGACTGTCTCTATGTGTTAAAATGTCCCATACTCACATTTGTTTGTCCAATGACTCCATCTTGAGCTGAGAGCAGTACAGAAGATAAAACTGATATTTCTCTCGGGTCAAAATCATCAATGTTCTCTGAAGTAAGTCTTTTCACTAGATCTTTAGGCGGTAGCTATAACACATGGAGAAAAATAAAAATGACAAATTTCCGGTAGACTTTCATATACATACATGTCAATTCAAGTTGATGTAAAATAAGAATGTGTATTTTAATCAAAAACTCACTTCAGCTAGTTTACAAATCCTTCTTGCTCTATCAGTGAAATTACAAGGACTGAAATGGCCCATTCCCCACTCTCTCCCATCAGTAAAATTCCCTCCACAATATCGCCTGGCGTACAGTGTACCATTCCCCAGGCTGACCCCTCCACAGGGACACCACACTACAGCCTCTTCTCCTATATTTGTCTCAGGCCATGTTAGTGATATAGCTAATGAAGGATCTGTTACTGATGGAATCAGGATAGTTTCTGAGGAACAACCATCTAAGAGTAAGAACAGAGAATAGATATAATTAATACCATAAAAGATAAAAAAAGATATAAAATACATAAATAATATTATATATAATACATGTAGATTTTATCATGTACATGTAAGTGAAAAAGTGAATAGATCTATGTATACATAATAAAAATAAGCTGGAAGAATAAAAGTGAGAAGGAGAGAGAAAGATTCATTAATAGCTCACCGAATCTGTCAAAAATCCCATCAACTTTGAAGCCAATGTTAAGCTTTTTCAATTGATCCCTCACTTTAATGAGAAGCTCCAAGCTTCCTCTCTCTTTAGTAATGATAGTCAAAAGCACTGGGACAGTGTGATCTGATGAACTACAATATTTGAATCATATTAACACAAGACTAAACTGTACATACTGTATAACGCTTTATTTTGGCAATTCTGCTGTAAAATTGTAATTGGCGGTTTTTAATTTGGCGATTTTTGTGTACACGTGCATTACTGAGCATGCGCATTTAATGATTGGTGATTCTGCTTGCAAACCGCCAATTGCCAAAATAAAACTCCGCCAAATTAAAGCATTATACGGTATTACTATTTCCAAAACAAGAAAGGAGTATACCGTATGGCGAGAAATTTTTGAGGGAATTAAATTTGGCAAATTTGGCATTTTGATAGCTGATAGCCATTTGTCAAAATAAAAATCCACCATTTTGAGCCATTATGCGCATGATCAATGGAACATGGCCACAAATTTGCCAAATTAAAATTCAAGATGCAATTACCGAAATTTAGCCATTCACCAAATTTAACTCCTCCCAAAATTTTCTGCTATATAGTAGCCAGAAATACAAAATATACACAAAATTAGTAGTCTGAAAAATTTACAAAACTCCCAATTATATTGTACATATATTAGCTTACTTGTACTGACTGCTTGCTAGCAGTTCTATGAAGAATAATTCATTGCCTCCTGCTAGTATTTTGCCAGCAACAATCTCATTCACTTCATCCACAAATTCTTGTAATATTCTTCTTGATTCGTCTGGTGTGGCAGTAGCAAGTGAATCCCTTTTTGATTCAGGGACATACAGAGAAGCTGTATACTGAACAATACCTAGAGAAAAGGTACAAAAACTACAAATTAATACATGTACTGTATAACTTAATTTTTTTAAATAATTTTTTTCTGGTTAAATTTCAAAAATTTGCAATTTTATAACTTTTAAAATACATATAAATTTATGTTGTGCAAAAAGTTTGAGCTGATTCTGATCAAATTTTAAAGGCTCCATATGTTATATTGCTTGTCAGCTCATGAAACAAGCTTTTTAGCTCTTTTAGCATTATTTATAAAAAACCTAGCTCCCTCCCTCCTCTTCCTCTCCCTCCTTCTCTTACCATTAATATTAACAACCACAGGGCCTGTCCTATTTGTAGTCTGTATGGTCCCATTTGGCATTTCACTCACTGCCTGGCACTGATAAAACCCACGATCAGGCAAACTCAGCTCACGAATCACAAAACTATACTCATCAAGGTTTTGATCAGATATCTCACGTCCGTCTTTGAACCAGGTCACGCGAGGCTGGGGTGTTCCAGACACAGTACAGTTGAGTACTACAGTTCCATAGAGGTCCCCTGTAGTGTTAGATGGAGGGACTATGATTCTGGGAGACTCCAATGTCAGAGATTCTATAAGCAATGATAAAATATAGTCATCAATATTTATCATCATTGATAATTTATTATTAACTTTTAACTTATTTTATATTAATTTTACCAATATTAATTACCACATATCATTTCTAAAAATAATAGTAATCGTAATCATAAACATTATTATTATTATTATCATTATTATTATCATTTATTAAAACAGAAAGAGCACCTAGATGTAGGATGAACAAAAATTAATGAAAAATAAAATAAAATAAAATAAAATTAGATTAAATAAGCAGAAATAAAAGTAAAATTGAAGGTAATAATATAATAAAATAAGAGAATGTGAAATATTATTATTATTATTATTATTATTATTATTATTATTACTATTACCTTTTTCACAGTATCTTCCTGAATAATTAGGAGGGCATTGACAGATAGTACCAGTACAGGTTGCACCATTAACACACAGATTGTTCTTACAAAAATCTCGTTCAGGAGCTAACAGGAGAAAATAATAAAATAAGGCACATAAACTTAACCAAAGGGCAAAATATAATTCAAAACATATGTGTAAATGCTCAATATATAAAGGAATCATAATCTAAACTTTCTATAAGAATAATGGTATTACAGTATCAATATGCATTTTAAAACGCAATAGTATTTTGAGTTCAATGTAATACTTATACCGGTAATATCAAATATTCTAGTCAAATTTGAGCAAAAAAATACCATTTTATTAGAATTTATTAAAATTTGCAAAAGTACAAGTTAAAAATTCATCTCAACAACTTACACAAAACATTCAAGTTGAACGGTGGGTCTATTGTCGCAATGTGTCCAATTCCATTAAAAGTTCTACAATAATAAAGACCAATGTCATCAGGATAGTACACATCATTAATAACCAATACACTCTCCAGCCCTCCTATACTAGAGGAGATATTAGTCCTGAATCCAGTCCTTAGCGTATTAGTAACATTAATCCTTCTATTAAGAGCTGGATCTAGGAGGGAGTTGTTCCGGAACCAGTTAAATTTCGATGGCGTTGGGACCCCATCAGCAATACAGGTAAAGCTTATTCGATTTCCTTCTCCCAGGGTGTAATTTAATTGCTGAGAGGAGATAACTGCTGATTCAACTATAAATATAGTAATTAACAAGGAAAGGTAGTTATTTGTTTGATGTACCAATACACACGTATAGCATATGTATACATAATTGTAAACATGTTTACCATGCACACACACACACACTCACACACACTCACACACACCCATACACATCTACAAGTGCAAGACTAACTGATGCATCACAAACTAACATTAGATTAGAAAGATCAAAGATATACTGTAAAAGCATTAAAGACATAACATTATGAAGGGTGATCCCAACATAATCATCTGCTAAATTTGTTTAGTAATCAGTATAATAATCAAGCTTTTATTGCAACAACAAATTTCATAATTGTACATGTATGTGGTATATTCTCATTCCCATACCTGATACATTGAGATGCACAGACCCGGTTCCTATTCCTCCTGCATTACCCACTCTAACAGAGTAAGTTCCATTATCAGAAAGCCTCACGCCTACTATCACCAACCGAATGAAACGAGATCCATTGACTAACAAGTAGTGACTCGATGGAGTAATGGGATGAGATGATTCGATTCCATTATTAAATGAAGTATACGTCCACTGGATAAAGTTAATAGGAGGGAAGACATTGCTATTGATATTAAAGGTGAGAGTAGAGTTATCCAAAGGATTTGATCGCTTGTGAACACCTGCTACATATTTCTTGTCAGGAACAAGCACTGGAGTAACTGAGAGTAAAAGAAAGGAATTTTAACATATGTTCAAAATAATTTTTAAATTTGCCTATTTTACAATGATCTCTCTCCTTCACTCTCACTCTCTCTCTCACTCACTCTCTCCTTCACTCTCACTCTCTCCCTCCCTCCCCCCTCTCTCTCTCTCTTTCTCTCTCCCTCTCTTTCTCTCTCTTTCCCTCTCCCTATCTCCATAAGCGTAATTACTGATTCAACCAAATCAAAAAACAAATTTCGTACATACATTAATTGTAGATAAACACAACCCTCCCATGTTCATCCCGATGTTATTTAATTACATATAATAGCATTACATCCTCCCACACAGTGATTACACATTACCTTGGACAAACAGATCAAAATAAGTCCTCTCATTATAGTCAGGATAATTAGTGACATTGTTTATACCAGTGCAATAATATCTGCCAGCATCACTCTCAGTAACATTCACAAGGCTCAAAGTTGACTCGAGTGTTGTGGTATTTTTAATGACAGTGGTTGCCATTCCATTGTGAGTGGTCCTTATTCCTTCTCTGTCCTCTTTTGTCCACTGGACTACAGGTAAAGGATTACCAGACACAGAGCAAATGAGGAGCACTTGAGATGAAATGTTAACGTAAGTACTGGTTGATGAGACTGGAGATACTGATGGTGGAGCTGAGAGAGAGAGAGAGAGAGGAAGGGAGGGAGGGAGAGAGAGAGAGGGTGAGAGAGGGAGAGAGAGAGAGGGAGAGAGGGAGAGACAGAGAGAGACAGAGAGAAAGAGGGAGACAAGAGAGATAAAGAAAATAAAAATAAATACATTTAATCTCATTAGTAACACAAACTGCCCATTCCAGGAACACAGTACCCATACTCTAAGTGATTTCACTACTATATTATAGTAATTAACATTACACTATTACATTATACATTAGATTATACACTAGAGTGGTTTCTGATTGATGTGGGATGCAGGTATAACTTTAATTGCCAATATAAATTTATCTGCACAGTAAATCCAGGATTAATCTTCAAAGCAGGAGGGATAAGAGAAATAGGAATTTAATTCGAGTGGTCAGATAGGTAATGAGGCATAAAAATACAAATTTCCCGCATTTTCACTCTCCCATCATATGCAGTGTAGAGAGGCTATAATATGAATATGTGAATATGCTATCATTTGTATATGTGAGGTATCTTACTCTAATCTGAAGACTAAGTATGCAAACATTGTAAGATGTAATATGATCCTGTGTTGATGATGATGCATTTTGCAGGAAATGGTGAGTTTATGTAAGACGTATCACAGCTTAAATAATAACAATGTTCCCACACCATGACCATTTACTCTCCGGTACATATACTTTACTGTTGACTCTCTTAATTTTTTATTCTCTCCCTCCCTCCCTCTCCCTCACTCCCCTCCTTCTCTTTCTTCTAACTTACATAATAATGAAACTAGTATCATTTGAGAGCTAACAGTAATGTTTCTTGCTAAGTCATTGTGGCAGATGCAATCATACTGGCCACCATTACCAGCTGTAAGAGGTGAGAAACTCAGGACACTACCAATAACTGAGGGAGCTTCATCAAGTACCACAATAGAAGTGGTTATATTATAGAGTGATTCACTAAGGAATGCTCCATTTTTTCTCCATTGGATTGTTGGTAGAGGGTACCCATTACAAGAGCAATTGAGTAATAGTTGTGCTCCAACAACAGATGTAATGTTATCATTAGGATATGAAGTAAGGACTGGAGGAGCTAAAGTAGAATAATAGGAGATCAACAATAATAAATGTATACAGTTATTCTAATCTCTCACTCTCTATTACTATTATTTTCTCCTCCTCTCTTTTTTGTGCTTCCCTCTCTCCCTCCCTTTCTCTCATCAATAGCTTATCTCCTTTCTCTAGGCAAATTTATACATTGCCAAGTACCGTAAGTTATAGAGTTAAAAATATACATGTACAATTAAATGCCTTTACACATCAAGGCATATATTTGGCCCTTCTCTCTTTCCTGTTTCCCTTCCATGCACTCTCTTCCTTCTTTCTCTCTCTCTTTCTCTCTCTCTCTCTCTCCCTCTCCCCCCCTCTCTCTCTCTCTCCCTCTCTCTCTCTCTCTCTTTCCTCCCTCCCTCCCTCCCTCCCTCCCTCCCTCTCTCTCTCTCTCTCTCTCTCTTACCCTGTACAGAAAGCTCAGTAGCAATAGTATCGCTGCCAAAATCATTAGAGACACTGCAATAATACTGACCGGCATCAATCAACCTCACATCATTAATCAGAAGCCCTCCATCATTAGTTATAATATACTTGGAACTGTTTCCAGTGAATATTTGATCATTGTACCTCCACTCAAGGGAAGGGAGTGGTCGACCTTTGAAATTGCATTGAAGCAAGACAGACTCACCGACCAGTGATGAGGTATTGTGAGAATACTCAGTAATGACTGGAATAACTGAGAGAAAGAGAGAGAGAGAGGAGGGGGAGAGAGAGAGGAGGGAGAGAAAGAGAGAGAGAAAGAGGAGGGAGAGAGAAAGAGTAAAAGAAGGACAAGCGAGGGGACAAGGTGAACAATTCAAAATTAGAACTATCACAAATTATGTCACACATTCCATTCTACTGGACCTAGTAACAATGCTATGCTACCATAAAAGTAACAATATACACTGTGCCAATTATACAAGAATTTTGATTAAAATATAAACATTAATTCTCAGCATGAAAAACAAAGATACATAATACTTGTAAACATACATGCATACATGTACATGTACGTACATACAAATATCTATTACATGTATCTTGCCAAGTGTCTAACACAATTATGCAATACTACAGGACTAATAGCATTAAAAGCCACTAATAGAAGTGGCACACATCAACTGACACACATAAAATTACAAACAGATCTGAATAGTCCTTTACTTACCTGCCACTTGTAATGTAGAAACAACTGATACTCTTTCTACATCTAAAACCAAACCCTGATGTCTAGCAATACAGAAATACTTCCCTTCATCATCCAAAGACACATTACTGATACTCAGCCTGCTAGTAGAAACAGTATCCCTTGATTGATAGCTGAAGGTATAGTGACCAGCCTCCATTGGTAACAGGGTATCATTAATGCTGGAGTTGTGTCCATTTCTCTTCCACCAAGTAATATTAGGAGGAGGGTACCCCATCACTGTACAAGAAAAGTTCACTGCCTGGCCCTTGATAACAACATTATTGTTTGGGCCACTGATTTCTCCTATAGGAACTGATAAAAAAGAAAATGTTATCTTGTTTCTATAAATATTTCTATAAACATGAAAAGTGAGCAAATGTATTAAATGATGTATATCCTTTCCCTCAACAAAAAAACAATGAGCAAATAAGGACTGAAAGGTTATATGAAATAAAGTAGCAGCTAATTTTCCTCTTCGCATGAAGTATAAAGTTCAAATTAGGGACAAAAATTCAAACAACTCCAGACACTAATATTACTACTCACTTTGTACTAGGAGTGTTGTTGTGGAGGAGCCATTACCATGAACATTGGAGACAGCACAACGATAGACTCCTCCATCCTCCAGACTGGCATTCCTAATAACAATAGAGCTTGAGTTACTGTTCTGATGCATTTCGATTCTCCCGTTGAGTTGTGTTGCATTAATCACTTCACTGCCATGATACCACAGCACCATGAAGTTAACCGGTCTGGCTATTATATTGCAAGTCAGCGTGACATTATTATACAATAATACTGACTGTACTGGAACACTTGATACATTAGGAGAAGCTAAAGAAATAAAGAATTGATTAATATTTGATATCAAGAGTATCGTACAAGTACATATGCAATATCTAAACATTTTGGATGCTCTCTTTAGATAATCATTACCATATAGCCAGAAAGCTTTGTGGCAAAAAAACTTTCATGGTTTGGTGGCTCATAGTCTATTTGTGGTTTTTATCAGCGTGGATCATCAGTGAAGCTTCCACCACTCTCATTAACCTGCAAATATTCCGTGGCTTTTAATTTTGTGGTGTCATTCCAAACCACGAAAACCCAAAAAGTTTTTGGCCACAAAATTTTCCAGCTATATGGTATGTACTCTTGTTGATATCCATGTACATGCTGTATTTGAACATATAAAACACACCACAGCCCTTGATCGGTATGTACATGTATGTGTGAACATAGACTGTACATGAGTGAACATGCATGTACATGTACATGAGTAAACATGCATGTACATGTATATATACATGAGCGTGGCTATTTACTATCTCTGGCATAACTAACCTTCAACAAAGATTTCAATTGATGATGAATCATTGCCAGCTTCATTAGTAACCCTGACAGTGTAAATACCAGCATCACTGAATTCCAAGTAGTTAATAGTGAGCCCATACCCAGTCAGAGTGTATTGGCTACTGCTGGTAGTGATTGGAGTGTTACCATGAAGCCACTTAATACCAGTGACAGGTGGGTTGGTTTTAGTAATCGTATAGTGTATAGTAAATGGTAGACCTCTCAACCCAATTGTAGTAGTATTTAATATGCTGATAGTAGGAATAACTAATGGAAAGTAAGAGAGGGTATTACAAGGTTTTCATACATTATTGCCATTCTCAATATAGGATTAAAAAATGACTTTTCTATTGCCATTCTCCTTCTCTCCACTCCGTCTCTCCTCTCTATCCTCTGTCTCCCACCCATTCCTTTCTTTATCTCCCTTCTCCTTACTCCAAATGCTAATATTAAAGTGAGCTTCATCTCTAGCTGTATCTCCTAGCAGTGTGTTACTAGCGCTACACAAGTATCGTCCATCATCACTTTCAGTCACACTAGCAAACTCCAGGACAGACACAACGCTATAAGAGCCATTTGTCAACAAGCTGATGCTGTTGCTAATGGAACCGGAAATATTTCTAGACCCATTCCCAGTCACATAAGACCACTGGATGATAGGGGCAGGGTAGCCGATTGAGGCACAACTCCTCTGTAGGGGTTTACCAACCAGGACTGAGACTGAGACTGGTCTTTGAGTCAACATTGAAGGATCTAAAAATAAAATTAAATATAATAATTATGTCAAGTATGTACATGTATATAGTATGGTTTCTAATATATTATTAATGGCATACAGCACTAGAAATATTTGCGGCCAAAGTGTAATTAGAAAATGCAAAGATTTAGTTCTTCAAAATTTACTCTTTTAAGCGAAGGTGCATTTGCAAAAAGTTTTTTCTAGCTACGCGGTACATGAAATTAAAACAAATTATGTTCTTACCAAAGATATCCAAACTCAACGACTTGCTGGCTTCTCTCCTTGACACCCAATCATGAACACCTTTACACAAGTATACTCCTCTATCTAACACCTCAAGGCTCTCTATTAGCAGGCTGGACTGGTTCTGTGTTTCTGTAGCTGAGTATGTAATAGAGATGCGGCCAGTTTCGTTCAGAGGGAGGCCATCTTTGTACCAGTAGACAGTGGGAGTGGGAAAACTAGACGCATTACATTGAAGAGTAATGGAAGAATGGGCTAATACGTATTTTGGTAGGGTAGTCAGCTCTATAAATGGAGTGTCTGGAAAGATAGACAAAAATAAAAATATAATATTGATAATGAGGCATTTGATTGCTTATTATAAATTACGTAACTAATAATTCATTTCTTATGTAATGTTAATTAGGTGAGATAATCTATAGCTTCCAGGAAAGGATAAATCTCACAAAAGCAAAAATGCTCGCAACACTTATATCATGATTATGATAACAGAACGACACAGCTTACATAAGAGCAGTTCTCACAATAGGAAATAGTAATTCATAAAATAAAATGGAATGCCATTGGCATATTTTAACTGTGAGATTATGCAACAGTGTCATAATGATGATAATAACCTCAGGCAATTAATCTAAACACAAACAGCAACATTTAATCTTTCTTCATTATGCAAAATTTATAACTACAAATAGGATTTGTAAATTATGTGCGCAAATAACTACAAATTAGGCTTACTATATTTAATTATTAAAAAATTAAGGGTAATTGTTAGAAAATTATAAAACTATTTACACACACACACACTAGGCCAATTACAAATAACAGTGAGTGCTACCAAAATTAACACATCATTATAGAGTAGAAAATACAACACCTATTAAGCAAATGACTCACTTTGTATGGTTACAAAAGCTCTTGCAGTATCACTGTTATCAACAATAGAAGCATTACTGTTGGCATAACAGTAATAATAGCAGCCATCCTTGTGATCAACATCAATCAGTTCAATACTAGACACCACTTCATAGACACCTGAGGCAAAGCGACTGTATGCCTCATTTAATGTCCAAATTGATGTGAGATTGGACCCAGTGCATTGTTTGTTCCACGTAATGAGTGGCTTTGGGAGACCAATGGCTGTACATGAGAGAGTGATGTTCTGACCAACTAGAGCACTGATGTTACTAGGGGGAGACGTGATGATCGTGGGAGCTATGACAGACAAAAACAAACAATGGATCATTATATAGTTTGTATACAAAATAACAAGGACAGATGTTAAGTTTAATGGGGAAAAGAAAGAGAGAGATGGGGAGAAAGAGAGAGAGAGGGGGGGGGGAAGAGAGGGATAATGGGCAAATAAAAGAAGAGACTGAATCCAAAAATAGATAAAGACAGGCTCTCTTACATTGAACACTCAAATAAAATGAAAGGTAGGTGATTCCGGCATCGTTTTGAGCTGACACACGATACCTTCCTTCATGAGTAGATGACACATTAAAAAGAGTCAGAGAGAACCTATGGAATACAGTAATGGCCATTATCTTAAAAGGAATTTGATAAATGTTAGCATCTTGTATAGCATACAATGAGAACAATTGTTGTACTGAATATGTAGCCCTGTACAACTTGTACTAAAAGCAAAGGGTTAGAGTAGAAAACATACAAGTACTGAGTGACAGAATATCATTAAAGAGCTTCAATTAAGATTATAAAGCATGTAAATGTATAAAGGCAGGACAATATTAATAATGTGAATGATAGACATTAAAATACCTGTTATCAGAGAAAGAGCAGTTGGTATCACAAATGACTGTCCTTTCAATGCCATCTTTCCACAGGAATCTCCAAATGATATTACTAGGCATGACAGGAGGATTAGAATTAACGTGTACTGAGAGTTTAAAGGAGTTTGATACAGTAGCAACCAATGGAGAGGTAATAAGCTTTAGCCCTGGTTTACCTTTAAAAACAGAGAGAAAAAAAGAAGGGGAAAGAGAGAGAGAGAGAGATAGGGGGAGAGAGAGGGAGAGAAAGAGAATAAAGGAGGAAGTAGCGATTGATCATTTCTACAACTACATACAAACACACTGACTTACCAATAATAATAAGTGTCATTGTCCTAACAATAGAATGTACACTTCCAAAGGCATCGATCCTATTTGAAGCCACACACATATACGTCCCATTGTGATAATATGTTGCACTAGCAATACTTAGACGCCTATTCTTGTATATAAAGGCATTGCCTGCAACACTGCTGTCAATATCATCAATCTCAATTGAAAGCGAAGCATTGCTGACTAGTAACTCTCCACGTGGGCCATACCAGGTAAGACTAGGCCTTGGCTTACCACTAGCAAGTGCAGAAGTAGAGAACGTGCTAGACAAGGGTACATAATTTATACCCTGATGACTAAATGAGAAAAAAGCAAGTTCACCTACAAAAGAAAGATTTCATTAATATTCCTAATTATCGCTATAGAGGGAAAATGTCCCATAAATAATTCTACAAAATTGAATGTCTAGTTGATTCTGTGCCAACTCTTTGATCTCAACTGCCAGTCAATCCATGCATGTACATGTACATGACGCAAACAAACACACATAACGTAACATCTATTATACACAATAGGTATACTGTACATGTAATAATTACAACACAATATGCATGCATATTTACTTGGTTCGATTAGTTCAACTGTTGAAGACCTCGCACTAGAGCCAACAGAATTGACAGCACTGCAGTTATAATGAGCAAAATCATCAGAGCTGATTTTAGAAAAGATTAACGTGCTGATGAGCGTAAAGGAGGACACCAAAGTGATTGAGCTGTTTTTTATATCGTATTGTATGTTGTCTTTGTACCATACGACAGATGGTAGTGGATTACCTTCGGCATAACAACTAATGTTGAATGTACCATTGAAGATAGTAAACACATCCTCACTGAGCATTTTTACAGTCGGTGCAACTATAAAACAGAATAGGGACAGAAAATGTAAGTAATATACTATTTAGTGCTTTATTTTCAAGGAGCAAATCTTGTGTGGATTTTATGAATTAGCAAAGCTTTGCAAAAATAATACTCAATCACCATTAAAGGCAATTAAGGCACTAACATTACAAATCTGCAAATGTATTAATTTGCATAAAAGTTTCATTTTTATGAAGTTATCTCCCTTGAAATTGAAGCACTATACAGTACATAAATAAGAGTACCCTGCCCTGTGGTATTATTACTATTACTACAGATTCTATTTACTAATAATAACTACATTATTCCATCATTAGCCTTTCTCACTTATCATATGGATGGCTCTAAACTAAATAATGGACTGCCAATGTTAATAATAGCCCTATTAAGTACTCTTGGCTCTAGATGCATCAAATTAACAATTAAAGCTGTAAAAAGTTCTTTATTTTAACACACAGATATTCTACTAACCTTTACTTAGCCCATATACTATGTTAGTCCATTGCGATGCAGGAGAATTAATGCAGTCTATATCAGTCACCATTGCTGTACGTGACCAAGGGTATTCCATTGTATTATTGCTATCAATGTGATACCCAACCACAGGGCTCTGGCGCATAGAGTTAAGCGACCCACAGGAGTAGGTGAATATTGAGAAAGTGTAATTACCATCTGTTGCTATGACAACTTGGAATGAGTTAGACTACATTGAGAAGGTAAAAAGAACAAAAATATTACAACATCATTGTTCCTCCCCCTTTCCTCTCTCTCTCTCCTTTTCACCCATTTTCTCCTTCTCTTCCCCAAGTTACATTTTCTCCACAAGACGATTGAGATGACAGGCTGAACGGGCAGACGTCAATCCACTGTGCCGCCAGAACCCATTGAGCAGTGAAGTTTAAAACACCACTTCTGTTCCTTGCAATAAAGTCATTCACTTGATGAGTTACACCAGAGGAGCTGTTGTAAGTGCCATACAACACACGGCCTTGAGTTGGATAAAGCATAATATCGTCCCAAAAAGGAGCAATGACTATTTCATTAATGATTGATAGATAAGGTGGAGGGAGAAGAATGATGTTACTGGACTCGAATACTATAAAACCATCTATTGCAACCTAAAGAAAATTATATATTATTTTTAATGTTCTATAAAGTAGACTATAAATAATTACAATAATTGCTATAAGCACCATTCAGGTGAAAATTGTATCAACTTTGATACAAGGATTTATAACAATGTATGTACACACAAAACCACATTATCCTACCCAAGCGGTAGACACGTTCCTGCTTCCTAGTGGCAGAGGAGAAGGTAGTGGTATAGGCCGGGAGAGACTAGCGTCCCCATCTGTGTTCACAGTAGTCATATTCTCCGCGCCATCCAATGATAGAAAAGGTAAAGAGTTGATGGTTGTCGCACGGGTCCACTGAATAGACCAGCACAAGCCAACTAACAAGCACACGAGTCGTTTGAAAAGGTGCTCCATCTCGTGCTCCTTATGGTTGTATCATAGATACTATGGGTGGTTGTATGATAGTACAGTAAAGAGAATGTCGCGTTAGTACAGTGCCGTCGTCCAGTTTTATATGAAAGGAGTGTCTATGAATTAACTCCATTCTTTAAATTCCTTTGCACGCCACAGGAATTCAACTGAAAAAATGAGCTCAATTTAATCACATTGCTCTTTTTGGTTGCACCATACTCTAATATCTATGTTTGCACATGGTCTTCGAAAAAAAGAACTAAAAAATTGTTAACTAGATGACTTGCCCAAGCAGATTGTAAAACCCAACAAAGAAATAAAATATTAGATCTAGTCAATAGTGGATAATTATGTGAGCAAGCGGTGGGTGAACTAATTGGGTATAGATTACAAAGTATGCATACAAACAAATAAGCGGTATTTTTTGATTAAAGAAAGGAGCACAAATGCACCATATAAAGGTACTGATCCCAATAATATACTGTTACATGATCATCTGGCATTCCAGGACAAGCAAGTGTGTGTTGGTAGCGGGCAACAGCAAGTGCATGGCTATAGCTTCAATTGGCAGCATAATAATTATAAAGTATAAACAATTAACAAAACAACAAAAAAATTTCTAAATAAGACTAGTTTGTGTCTATGCAATTAAAAATTTAGCAAAATAATGAATTGAACTTGTTTATCTAGAATAGTATATAGGTCTATCTAGTCTAGTAAATGTAAAAAGTTAAAAATGCAATCAAAAATTTAAAAAATGAAGGCATGGCAGCCTGGGCTCAATTAATCATTCTCATTACTTTCAAATTTTAAATGCTGTTGAGCTACGGTAAAAGAAACATGTTCACAGACTTGATCCTTCCAACCAAGTGATAAAGAGAGAATGAAGTTAGTGCTATCACTCTTGAAGTGAGCTAGTTCATCGATAAAACTTGATATTCCATGTCCCGTAAACGGATTATGCCCAATGTCAAGGAATTTAAATTTCTTGAAACTGCAACTGCTGTTGGAGTCAGTAGCAGGTTCTTCAGACGAGCCAAACAGCTGCCTGAGCATAGAGCACAAATGAGCACCTCCTTCATCATCAATAAAATTATAACTCAAATTAAGAGCTTCTAGATGATGAGACATTAGCACTGCATCAATAATAGTACGAACACTGCTAGAATCAATGGCACAATTAACTAGCTCTAGTTTAGTAAGAGTAGAGGAAGGGAGTGTTGTGGGTAGGAGGCTGAGGTTCTCTGGAGTGCAGCAACTTTGTTCAATGTGTAGAACTTCAAGAGACAGTGACTTAGGGAAGCATTCAATGACCTTTTCAATGCTACTGGATCCTAACTGGTATAGATACACTTTACCAATACTTGATACTTTGGTTAGAAGCACTGCACACTCATCAGGACTGAGCTTAGAAAAAGTAACATGAAAACATTTAAGTGGTATCATTGCTTCTATCAGGCAGAGCTGTTCACCTTCCTTAAGGAAATTGTTATGGAAAAATAGATTTCCCAGGCTTGAGAATTTTCTAAGTTGTTTTGAAAACTCTATGGCTGCACAAGAATGAAATTCGCAGCTCATTAGACGTAGTGAATCCAAATTCTTAAGAATATGCTCAGGAAAGTGTATCAATTCCATCATTCCTTCATCTCCAATTGGATTAAGAGAAAAACTGATATCCTCTATTTTACATGATGGGTTAGACTCTATAGAGATTAATCCTCTTCGAAATTTCTCGAGATGCTCAAAAGTTATTCCGCGGAGTGTAAAGCTCAATCCCCATTGACAGCTACTAAGTGCTATACACTTGCCGAGAATGAACATGTCTTGAGGTGAGGGTCTAGGCAGTAGGCGACGAACCTTATAAACTTTATCTTTTTCGCTAAATAAACTTGCAATAAGGGAATGGTTTCCAGATTCGTAGAGGCAACGAAATAGGGTCATACTGTACAAGTGGTTATCAACACTTGGGGTGATTGATTGTAGCTCTGTCAAGCCAGATAAAAAGCAAAGCATTGTGGAGAATTTCATAACGTTCTTTAATCTATTAAAGATATCTTCAATTTCATCTTTTGGCATCCGAAAAATGTGGTAAGCTGCAAGAAACTCTTGAATGGTGGGATGGAGAAAGGAATAAGCAATGACATCACCTGTCCCTGGATAAACTTGAACTTCTTTCTGCATCATCCCAAGAGTCTCAATATGACTATCAAGGTAAAATATCAGGTCAGTAGCTCTTTTTCTGAACCCAATATAGGCCATTTCACAAAGAAAGGAGAAATCTTTCTGATATGAATCAGGAAGGTCATTTAAATCAATGCTTACCAGCTGTGCTGGATTTTTACTTTTAATGTGTCGATAGAGTAACATTTTAATCATTGCCTCATACAGTTTAGTTGAAGTTACAATGCCTTTAAATGGCACTTGCTCCTTGTTCATGATGTACTGTTGAAAGATACTGCATATAATAACGAGATGGACAGGGATGTAGAGACAACTTCGCACCTTTGGTGACTCATCTAAATGCTGATTGAGAGTAGCAATACACTCATTATCATTTTCAAAAAATAGCTGAATGTACTCATTGATACTTTTGCCTGTAAACCCTAATACTTCGATATGACGACTAAATGAAATTTCCTGCTTCAAAGAGTGCTTTGCTGATGGACGACTGGTATAAATCAGTGAAGTAAACGGCAGTTCTTCTGAAATCTGAAGAAACACCGAACTTGCCTGTGTAAGATCTTCTGGTAGCTCATCAAACCCTTCAAGTATAACAATGAGACCCTCTCCACTTTTATCAAATATATGCTGAACAGCTTCCTCCTTCCAACTTTGCTCCTTCAAGAAACAACCCAAGAGATCTTTTACTGTTTTACAATTTTGTATAAACTTATCTCTCAGACGAAGTAATAATAAAAGAGGATATTTTTTCAATGCTTCTCCCTTGATCCAACGACTGCATATCTCAAACGCAAGCATTGACTTTCCTATCCCAGGGGCGCCCTCAATCAAGACAGCTTCTCCATACTCAATTCTGCACAGCTCCTCAAGTGAAAATGGCTCTTTATGAAGAAAAATATCATCAGCAGTTCCACGTATAGTAGATTTCGAGAAAGAATCAGAGCAGCTTTTCTTGTTCACAACGGCTAGGTCAACGTAAACTTTAGATGGGGTGGTCGTAAAAGACCACTTTGGGTCAGGCTTCTCTTTTTTGTAGAGGGCCTTTAAATGACGAGAATATTGCTTCACTGGAAGTATCAAATCATCACTATTAGTAGTATCATCTATAACAAAGAGATTTGAGTATTTCAGTTATACAAAGCAAGTATAATGTACACATAAGATCAAAACAAGAAACACAAATAATTCTATGTACAACATAATTATAATTGAAGATTAATTACCAGAAAATTTGAAAGAAAATTCTTTATTTGCAGCCAATGAAGGTAATTTTGCAGTCTTTATTGATCGAATAGGAATAAAAATTGCAACAAGAGAAGCTACAAGTAAATAGTAAAACATAATAAACTAAATTAGATACATGCATCAAAAGCATTACCTTCAGCCTTTATCTTGTCAAAAAGTTTATCAAAATTTTTAAAATCTCGAATGAGAAAAACAAATTTTGCAAATGCACGAATAGGATTTCTAGCTTGACTGATGAAGGTAGAGACATGGCCCATCATTGCTTTGCTTTTAATATTAAAATTTGACAGTTGCTGAATGACATCTTGCTCTGTTGACCCAATTAGAAAATTATCTGCTAGCAGCTCCAGCATACTGTCACAAAGGTTGGCATCTTTTCGAAGAACATCAACCATCTGATCAGAGTATCTATCAAAGATCTTCCAGGCTTTATTGCTGGGGTTCTTCTCACATATTCTGACCCTCTTCTGAGTATCAACAGGATCACTTGCTGAACGTCTGTAGTAACTACGACTTGGATTAATGGCTGGAGGAGGATGAGACAACTGTGATTTAAACCTCGGTGCACCTGTATAAAGGAAATACATGTAGTTACAAATATCTTGACTGTCCACAAAAATTTAATCATCAAATTCCCAATGCTCATTGACAATACTATAACATAATCCTATTGGATTTATAAAGCCAAAGGGGTCTATATTATCAACTAAGTACTCCTCACTCATGGGTTACATAAAAAAGACGGCACTGGAAGAGGCGTGGCACACTCTCGTAGTTTTAGTTAGAACATAGCTTAGGTTTAAAATTAGGGTTAGTTCTTTTAATTTTATCTGTACTCTAATACCGTAGAGCGGGAAATTTTGGAGGGAATTAAATTTGGCAAATTTGGCATTTTGATAGCCATTCGCCAAAATAAAAATCCACCATTTTGAGCCATTATACAGCACGTGGCCACAAATTCGCCAAATTAAAAACCGCCAATCACCAAAATTCACCAAAATCTAGCCCCTCCAAATTAACCTGCTATATGGTATCTATGGTTTAGTACTGTTCTAATATAGCCACACCCCTTCTGCAGTGCATCGTCTTTACTGATTCTACTAACTTAATTTAGTACTTGATTTCTGGTGCTTGTCCCGATAGTACTGACACAACTTCTCAGCAGCTTCTTTGTTTTCGATTTCAATAAGAACTTTCAATAATAAGAGGTACGTTGCACCTGATCCTTTTCTTTCTTGCCATTTCCAGAACAAAGCAATGACTCTATCTTGGTCTGAGTCATTGTCTTTTTTTATGGCTGTAATATCTGACTTAGACAGGCCAAGATGAATACCCAAGAAATAGTCAAAATTAAGTCCAAGACTAAGAAAAACAGTATCATCAGTAGCTTTATCGAGATCAAGTTCATTCAGTGAGAATTCTTTGAGAATATTTCTTACAGGATCCCTTAAAGAGCTTCCACTTGTCCCTTGATTTGATGCCATTGTCTCTTGATTTGATGCCATTGTCTCTTGATTTGATGCCATTGTCTCCTGCCAATTTGTGACAATCAGTCTATCAGAATTTATAATTTTAATGTGAAATTAATGATGATCCATCCTTCAGGCACACCCATTTTGATATCATGGCGTCCGATGAAGAAGCAGTAGCTTTGAGAATCTTCCAAGCTTCCATCTTGTCGTAGACTAACCAATAAGGGAGGACAGAGAGTGAAAGAGAGGCTCGGGGCTTCTTTATTGGGTCCGCTTATCGCGTTAGTACAGCACGGTGCTGTTGTCTATTATTGACTATTAACATAGATACAGATAGATCTCAATTCATTGTTTGGGTTGACTAGAATCTTACTTGCCCATGCAGATTGTAAAACCCAACAAAGAAATGAACTAGGATTATTATGTGAGCAAGTGCATTAAAGGAAGAAGTATCTAATGATCTCAATAATACACTATTAGATCATAGATATTAGATATCTATGATTAGATCTACATGATCATCTGCTATTCCAGGACAAGCGTGTGTAGGTAAGCAACAGCAAGTGCATGGCTATAGCTTTAATTGGCAGCATAATAATTATGAAGCATTAACAAAACAACAAAAATTTCTAAAAAAATAACACTAGTTCATATGTATGCAATTAAAAATTTAGCTAGTTAAACTTTTGATATAGCCGGATCTATCTACTCTAGTAAAAAGTTAAAATTGCAATCAAAAATTTAGGCAATGCAGGCTCAATCGTCCTCATTACTTTCAAATTTTAAAAGCTGCTCAACTTTTGTAAAAGAAACATGTTTACAAACTAAATCCTTCCAACCAAGTGATAAAGAGAGAGTGAAGTTAATGCTATCACTTTTAAAGTGAGCTAGTTCATCGATAAAACTTGATATTCCATGTCCCGTAAATGGATTATGCCCAATGTCAAGGAAATTAAAACTGTGACTGCTGTCGTGGTCACTACCAGGTTCTTCAGATGACCCAAAAACCTGCTTGAGCATAGAGCATAGACGAGCACCTCCTTCATCGTCAATATAATTATCCCTCAAATTAAGAGCTTCTAGATGGCGAGACATTAGCACTGCATCAATAACAGTACGAACACTGCTAGAATCAATGGCACAATTAACTAGCTCTAGTGTAATGAGAGTAGAGGAAGGGAGTGTTGTGGGTAGGAGGCTGAGGTTCTCTGGAGTGCAATGACTTTGTTCAATGTGTAGTACTTCGAGAGACAATGAGTTAGGTAAGCATTCAATGACCTTTTCAATGCTACTGGATCCCAACTGGTATATGTCAACTTCAGTAATACTAGATACCTTGGTTAGAAGCACTGCACACTCATCAGGACTGAGGTTAGAAAAAGTAACATAGCAACACCGAAGTGGTATCATGGCTTCTATGAGGCAGAGCTGATCACCTTCACTTAAGTAAATTGTTATGGAAAAATAATGTTT